CTCCCAATAATTGAGGTGTTTTATCTCCGTTATCCGCGCCGTGAAAGTTCTCTGTACATTTTCTAGGTCGGCAATTTCACCTGCCTTGAAAGGTGCTGTTAGTGTGCAGCAATATTCCAGCCTAGATAGAACAAGTGACCTGAAGAGTGTCATCATGGGCTTGGCCTCCCTAGTTTTGAAGGTTCTCATTATCCATCCTGTCATTTTTCTAGCAGATGCGATTGATACAATGTTATGGTCCTTGAAGGTGAGATCCTCCGACATGATCACTCCCAGGTCTTTGACGTTGGTGTTTCGCTCTATTTTGTGGCCAGAATTTGTTTTGTACTCTGATGAAGATTTAATTTCCTCATGTTTACCATATCTGAGTAATTGAAATTTCTCATCGTTGAACTTCATATTGTTTTCTGCAGCCCACTGAAAGATTTGGTTGATGTCTGCCTGGAGCTTTGCAGTGTCTGCAATGGAAGACACTGTCATGCAGATTCGGGTGTCATCTGCAAAGGAAGACACGGTGCTGTGGCTGACATCCTTGTCTATGTCGGATATAAGGATGAGGAACAAGATGGGAGCGAGTACTGTGCCTTGTGGAACAGAGCTTTTCACCGTAGCTGCCTCGGACTTTACTCTGTTGACGACTACTCTCTGTGTTCTGTTAGTGAGGAAATTATAGATCCATCGACCGACTTTTCCTGTTATTCCTTTAGCACGCATTTTGTGCGCTATTACGCCATGGTCACACTTGTCGAAGGCTTTTGCAAAGTCTGTATATATTACATCTGCATTCTTTTTGTCTTCTAGTGCATTTAGGACCTTGTCGTAGTGGTCCAATAGTTGAGACAGACAGGAGCGACCTGTTCTAAACCCATGTTGCCCTGGGTTGTGTAACTGATGGGTTTCTAGATGCGTGGTGATCTTGCTTCTTAGGACCCTTTCAAAGATTTTTATGATATGGGATGTTAGTGCTATTGGTCTGTAGTTCTTTGCTGTTGCTTTACTGCCCCCTTTGTGGAGTGGGGCTATGTCTGTTGTTTTTAGTAACTGTGGGACGACCCCCGTGTCCATGCTCCCTCTCCATAGGATGGAAAAGGCTCGTGATAGGGGCTTCTTGCAGTTCTTGATGAACACAGAGTTCCATGAGTCTGGCCCTGGGGCAGAGTGCATGGGCATGTCATTTATCGCCTGTTCGAAGTCATTTGGCGTCAGGATAACATCGGATAGGCTTGTGTTAATCAAATTTTGTGGCTCTCTCATAAAAAATTCATTTTGATCTTCGACTCTCAGTCTGGTTAGCGGCTTGCTAAAAACTGAGTCATATTGGGACTTGAGTAGCTCACTCATTTCCTTGTTGTCATCTGTGTAGGACCCATCTTGTTTAAGTAGGGGCCCAATACTGGACGTTGTTCTCGATTTTGATTTGGCATAGGAGAAGAAATACTTTGGGTTTCTTTCGATTTCATTTATGGCTTTTAGTTCTTCCCGCGATTCCTGACTCCTAAAGGATTCTTTTAGCTTAAGTTCGATGCTTGCTATTTCTCTGACCAGTGTCTCCCTACGCATTTCAGATATATTGACCTCTTTTAGCCGCTCTGTTATTCTTTTCCGTCGCCTGTAAAGGGAGCGCCTGTCTCTTTCTGTTTTACATCTACTCCTCCTTTTTCTTAGAGGAATAAGCCTTGTGCATACATCGAGTGCTACCGAGTTAATCTGTTCTAGGCATAAGTTGGGGTCTGTGTTGCTTAGTATATCTTCCCAGCTTATATCGGTTAGGACTTGGTTTACTTGGTCCCACTTTATGTTTTTGTTATTGAAGTTGAATTTGGTGAATGCTCCCTCGTGACTAATCTCCTTATGTCGGTCTGGGGCTCCGCGCATACATGACTGAACCTCAATTATGTTGTGATCTGAGTATATTGTTTTTGATATGGTGATATTTCTTATCAGATCATCATTGTTAGTGAAGATGAGGTCTAGTGTATTCTCCAGTCTAGTAGGCTCTATTATTTGCTGGTTTAAATTGAATTTTGTGCAGAGATTTAAAAGCTCGCGTGAGTGTGAGTTTTCATCAGAGCTGCCTCCTGGTGTTATTACTGCAACAATATTATTTGCTATATTCCTCCATTTTAGGTGCCTTAAGTTGAAATCCCCCAGGAGCAAGAGTATTGGGTGCAGGAGCTGGGAGATTTTCCAGACAGTGGTCAATTTTTAACAGCTGTTCCTGGAATTGCTGGGATGTTGCATCCGGAGGCTTGTAGACTATCACAATGACTAGGTTTTGGTTCTCGACCTTTACTGCTAAAACTTCCACTACATCATTTGAGGCATTTTAGCAGTTCTGTGCAAACAAGTGACTCTGCAATGTACAGGCCAACCCCCCCCCCTTTTGCCTGTTCACTCTGTCACATCTGTATAGGTTGTAACCTGGGATCCATATTTCGTTGTCCAAGTGATCCTTTATGTGGGTCTCAGTGAAAGCCGCGAACATTGCCTTTGCCTCTGCAAGCAGTCCACGGATGAAAGGTATTTTGTTGTTTGTTGCTGGCTTTAGACCCTGTATATTTGCAAAGAAGAATGTTATCGGACTGGTGGTATTGTTGGTACTGGGGGGGGATTTTTTTTCCGGCATTAGTATCTGTATCTGTTGGTTTGGAGTGGAGGCCATCGACTGTGGTTCCACTCCAGGAATGACTGGATTTGGTGTACGATTTCTGCCATTTCCTGCCAGTTTTTTTTCCTTCCTGGCACTAAAAAACCTCTCCCTCTTGAGTGGCTGTGGCTACCCAGGTTTCCATGGCCTGGATTTTTTGTATCTTTTTGCCCCCTTTAGATGGTATGCCTGGCAATTTAAGTTATAGCACAGTCTTTCCTGTACTGAAGAGGTACACAGTTCAGGGTGAAAAAGCTTACAGGAAGGGAGTTTGCATTTTCCTGTTGTCATATGGGCATGGCATTTCCTAGGTGATCATAGTTGCACGTCCATCTGTTTTTCCAGATTTCCCATGCCAGCAGATACCGAGTGCATAGTATGTGCACAGGCTTGGTTTCCGTTTGCCTTGGTTTTCTGTGACTGTATTCCCTGTTGGTGCATGTTTCCCTGTCTTACTTCTATCCTCCCTAGCACCAACAATGGAGCTCCCACCATTTGTTTTTGGTAATATATCCTCACTATTGCTAGTGGAGTCCTCTTGTTTGCTATTTCCTGCGGTATTTCTAGTTTGCAATATTGGTTTTATCTTATCTTTGACTACACTTGTTTCCCTACTATGGCTCCTGTCCCCTATGAGGTCATTCATATGTATTCCTTCCTGCTATAATTCCCGACTACCTGGACAAAATCTCCAGCTTCACCATTACTGTCTCCCAGGACAGCATCTCCAGCTTCCCCATTACTGTCTCCCAGGACAGCATCTCCAGCTTCACCATTACTGTCTCCCAGGACAGCACCTCCAGCTTCACCATTACTGTCTCCCAGGACAGCACCTCCAGCTCCCCATTACTGTCTCCCAGGACAGCACTATCAGCCCCCCATTTACGACTACCAGGACATCATCTCCAGCCTTACAGTTTCTGACTACATGGCCAGTATCAAGGGCAGTACCATTCAGCCCGGACTTTTATGTTCCCATCTGTTGTAGAAAGCTTCCAGGTTTTCTATGAAAGCAGCTTTGATGTTGACCTCTTTTAATACCCTTGTGATTTTAGTCCACAGATTTATCTCATTTGGGCATACCCAAAAACACTTCCCTGTTTTAATACTGCTTGTAGCTAGTTCTTGGATATCTGCACAAGGGGCGTGACACCAATTTCCACAGAAATGACAATTTATGCATGTGGAAGCCCGTTTGTTTGACTGACCACAGACTACACACAGCTTCATAATGATTTGAATGGTTGATTTACTGCAATTCTACTAGCAACCTCTTGAATATTCTATTAATAACCTGCTAGGTGCACAACGAAACCGTTTGAAACCAGTCCAGGGTTATATATAGGGCCACCAGAGTGAGGTGGTATATAGGGCTACCAGAGTGAGGTGGTATATAGGGCTACCAGAGTGAGGTGGTATATAGGGCTACCAGAGTGAGGTGGTATATAGGGCTACCAGAGTGAGGTGGTATATAGGGCCACCAGAGTGAGGTGGTATATGGGCTACCAGAGTGAGGTGGTTATAGGGCTAACCAGAGTGAGTGGTATATAGGGCTACCAGAGTGAGGTGGTATATAGGGTCCCCAGAGTGAGGTGGTATATGGGGCCCCACCAGAGTGAGGTGTATATAGGGCCACCAGAGTGAGGTGGTATTAGGGCCACCCGATGAGTGGTATATAGGGCTACCAGAGTGAGGTGGTATATAGGGCTACCAGAGTGAGGTGGTATATAGGGCTACCAGAGGAGGTGGTATATAGGGTCACCAGAGTGAGGTGGTATATAGGGCCACCAGAGTGAGGTGGTATATAGGGCCACCAGAGTGAGGTGGTATATAGGGCCACCAGAGTGAGGTGGTATATAGGGCTACCAGAGTGAGGTGGTATATAGGGCTACCAGAGTGAGGTGGTATATAGGGCTACCAGAGTGAGGTGGTATATAGGGCTACCAGAGTGAGGTGTATATGGGGCTACCAGGAGTGAGGTGGTATATAGGGCTACCAGAGTGAGGTGGTATATAGGGCCACCAGAGTGAGGTGGTATATAGGGCCACCAGAGTGAGGTGGTATATAGGGCCACCAGAGTGAGGTGGTATATAGGGCTACCAGAGTGAGGTGGTATATAGGGCCACCAGAGTGAGGTGGTATATAGGGCCACCAGAGTGAGGTGGTATTACCACCTGCTTCCCGGGTCCTCCTGGCTGGTTGGACTTTGTGGCTCACTGGGGACGGTGGTGGTGGGTAGCTACTCTCTCCTTCTCACTTGCTTACTCTGGTGAAGTATTTATTTAAGCCCGTATGAAGCTCTGTGAAGTATTTATTGTCTTCCTTTTGTTGTTGAGTTGTGCAAGATGGTGACGTGGATATGAATGTGGGTGTGTTGTGTTGAAGTGTACATTGTTTAGGCTGGTTCCTTGATCCTTGTGGAGGGCTCTTGATTCAGGGACTTGGAGGTAGCCTGCCCATTTGTGGACTCATCCCCCTCCATACTCATTAGCCAGGCGCTGTATGACCCTTACGGGTCTAACGCTTCGTCGTAAATATGGTTCGTAGGTGTAGTGCCTTATTATAGAGACTGATGTCATCATAATAATATCTTTATATACTACAAGTACATGTACAAGGTATACAGGTCTAGCTGACATCAGTGACATACTACTATATAGAAAGCCGCTTGTTATGCTGAGCATTTCGGGCAAATTAGGTCAGTTTTGCCCCAGGATGCGACCCACACCAGTCCACTAACACCCAGGTACCCATTTTACTGATGGGTGATCATGGACACCAGGTGTCTTATGGAAACACGTCCGTAATGTTTTTCAGCCGTACCAGAGGAGATTCGAACTCCGGACCTCAGTGTGTGAGCTGAGTGCTCTAGCAACCGAGCTATGGGCTAAATGTACTCTCATAGTACTTATTACTTAGTAATTTTGGTACTCATTACTTGGTACCTGACAAGTAGGGTTATGATGGAATATTTAAGTATATATAATTTTACTAAAGCATGTACTTCAGGGGCTGCGTGCCCCCTACACATTCAGTGCTACTCCGTTACTGAATTCACAAACACTATGAGTAACTGCTTGTTGATACCAACAGTAACAAAACCTACAAGAATTACAGAGACTATTGTTTCCCTGTTAGACCACATCTGGACCAACACCATATCCCCTTTAAAATCAGGCATAATCACAGATGATATCACAGACCACTACCCTACCTTTCTCATAACTAATCTAAGCAAATTACCCCAAGACACTACTAAAGTCACTTTCAGACTTCATAATGAGGCAAGCATTAATAACTTCACAACAGCAATGACAAACATCAACTGGCACATTGAGCTAGAAATCTATACAGATATTGATGAATGTATTAATAATTTTCTAAAAAAAACCAATACCTCTATAACAAGCACTGCCATAACAAAACTAAACAGATGACAGCTAAGAGACTGAACAGTCCCTGGCTAACACCCAGCATCCTCAAATCCATAAATACAAAGCACCTATACGAAAAACAGTACAGAATGGGTCACGTAACCAGTGACCAAACAAAACGTTACTTATCAGTCCTAACCAGCCTGATAAGAAGGGCTAAAAAATTGTATTATAAGAACAGATTATCCAACTTAAAAGGTGATATAAAAAAGACCTGGAAACCCTATCAGAAATTCTAGGAACAAAAAAGATATCAGGAAATAGCACAATTGAACTAACAAAACCAGATGAACCCCAACTCCCACCAACTGAAACAACAAACAGACTCAATGATTTCTTCTCCACCATAGGAAGAAACCTTGCTATTAAAATCCCAAGCTCAAATACCCCACCCAATGACTATCTCACTGGCAACTACCGGAACACACTGTTCCTAGCTCCGACTAACCCAACAGAAGTCTCCCTTATTATCAACACACTAAAAAACAAGACAGGATATTTAAATACCTTACCACCTTTTATATACAAAAAAGCATTACAAGTACTAACACCAATCATTGCAACACTCTTTAGCAAATCCATAGAATCCTCTACCTTCCCTACAGTTCTCAAAATAGCAAGGGTCACCCCGATACATAAAGGAGGAGACCAAACAGACTTGAATAACTATAGGCCAGTATCCAACTTACACCCTCTCTCTAAAATCTTTGAAAAATTAATTCATAAGTGAATCTATTCCTACCTCATCTCCCACAACATACCCAACCCCTGTCAGTTTGGGTTCAGGAATAATAAAAATACGAATGATGCTATTATACACATGCTAGAACAAATATACACTGCACTCGAGAAGAAGTCCCACTGGGGATCTTCATTGATTTACGTAAAGCTTTTTATACAGTTGACCATGATTTGCTCCACATAAAATTGTCACACTATGGTATAAGAGGGCACTCCCTCAACTACCTAAAGTCTTACCTCAGCAACAGAAGCCAATATGTGTACACAAATGGAGCAAACTCTTCTGCACAGCCAATTACAGTTGGTGTCCCAGAGGGAAGTGTCCTTTGCCCTCTTCTCTTTCTTGTTTACATAAACAACCTACCAAATGCATCGCAACTACTCAAACCCATACTATTTGCAGATGACACTACATACGTCTTCTCTCACCCATTCCCAGTCATACTAGCCAATACTGTAAATACCGAATTACAGAAAATAACTATCTGGATGATGACTAACAAACTTACTCTCAACATTGACAAAACCTACTTCATTCAGTTTGGAAACAGAGCTACAGATGTCCCTCTTAACATAATGATAAATGGATCACCTATCACAAAGCTCACAGAGGGAAAATTCTTAGGAATCCACCTTGATAATAGACTCAAATTTCAAACACATGTACAACAAATTTCCAAAAAAATTTCCAAGACTGTAGGCATACTATCGAAGGTACGGTACTATGTTCCACAGTCAGCCCTCCTGGCCCTATATCACTCACTCATTTACCCCTATCTCACCTATGGAATTTGTGCATGGGGCTCAACAACAATAAACCGTCTTAGACCATTAATTACCCAACAAAAGGCTGTAGTCAGAATGATGATAAATTCCCACTACAGGCAGCACACTCTACCAATATTCAAAACTCCAAACCTACTCACCGTACAAAACATCCATACTTATTATTGTACCTACTACATACATAGAACACTTAACTCGGATATAAACCCTCCCCTCAAACGTCTCCTTACCAACCTCAACAAAACACATGACCATAACACAAGGCACAGATCACTCTTTGATGTTCCTCGTGTCCATCTCACACTGTGCAAAAAAACTCAGTGCACATAAAAGGCCCAAAAATCTGGAATTCATTACCTGTGAATATAAAAGAAACACTGTCTGTTTATAAATTCAAGTCTCTTCTTAAAAATCACTTATTCACTCACAACTAAATAAATACTGAATAAGTGTAACTCATAAATGTAACTCATACCTGTGACCCTATCAAACTTTGTTTTTTTAATTACATTACCTAATAGAATTCTCCATTCTATTGAATGCACAGCAACTCAGAAAATGACCATATGACCTGTCTTTGAAATACTCATTTGTGCTTAATTGTTATTTGTTTACTATAATTTTTACCACTGAATATATCATTGCTTAGTTAATCTTAAGTTAATTTTAAGCCTGCCCATAATGCTCTGCATACAAGGGGCTTTTGGCATGTTACACTTAACCTCTGTATTTCTTTGTACATCTATGTATCATGTCCAAATTAATAATAAATAAATAAATAAATAAATTAATCCAGTGAAAATTATAATTACTGGAGACTGTGGAAGACATGAAGAAGTAATTTACAATGAACCCAATGAAAAGTAGGGGTGCCATCAGTACACTAAGAAATAATACTAAGTATCAGTGGCCCATAACTGTTTAACTGCCTCCCAGCATACATGAGGGGGATTACCAGTAGTCCCCTGGCTGTCTTCATGAAGGCTCTGGAGGGGCACCTAAAGTTAGTACCTGACCAGCTGGGCTGTGGTTCGTACGTTGGGTTGTGCTCGGCTAGCACTAGCAGCCTGGTTGATCAGGCCCTGATCGACAGTGAGGCCTGGTCATGGACCAGGTCATGGGGGCATTGACCCTAGGAACACCTTCCAGGTATACTCTAGGTATAGCTACCGACAACTCCTCGGCAGAACTTGGACATTATTTATGTATATCATAGAATAAGTGTTTCTTGTGCACATTTTTATTTCATGAGATTTTAATAAAATTGAGTTAGGTTACTTGATGCTCAGTTAAATTACATGATGTAACATAAAAATACCACCAATCTTTGTTATAATTCAGCCAGGTGTAACCTAAATCAGTGTAATTGTTTTTCTTATATTTTCCAAATCATTACTTTATCCACGATGTACAGGTGTTGTATGTTTGAAGAGTGTAAAATAATGGAGTTCCTTCTTATAGCTGTCGGTAATTATTACCTTGTATTAACTTGTGGATACATTCCAATGCGAATAAGTCACATTGCTCGACTTTATTGGGTTATCATAGGTCACATTGCTTGACTTTATGGGTTATCCTAGGTCACATTGCTTGACTTGATGGGTTATCCTAGGTCACATTACTTGGCTTTATTGGGTTATCATAATTTACTATATCAAGTCATTATAAAAGTTTAAAGTTTTGTATGAAGTCAAGTTCACTAATAAATTATCTTTCCATTTAGACTAATAAACTTGTACTGTATTACCTTATTAAAGTTAAGTTTTCCACAAGGTAGTATTTAACTTAATGCAGTGGTTGCATTTTTCATTATTATTATAGGGTGTCTCTTGCCTCAAAAAAAAAAAGCAGATATGGTAATCACGAGGAAATTAAATCTTCATCAGAGTACAAAACAAATTCTGGCCACAAAATAGAGCGAAACACCAACGTCAAAGACCTGGGAGTGATCATGTCGGAGGATCTCACCTTCAAGGACCATAACATTGTATCAATCGCATCTGCTAGAAAAATGACAGGATGGATAATGAGAACCTTCAAAACTAGGGAGGCCAAGCCCATGATGACACTCTTCAGGTCACTTGTTCTATCTAGGCTGGAATATTGCTGCACACTAACAGCACCTTGCAAGGCAGGTGAAATTGCCGACCTAGAAAATGTACAGAGAACCTTCACGGCGCGCATAACGGAGATAAAACACCTCAATTACTGGGAGCGCTTGAGGTTCCTAAACCTGTATTCCCTGGAATGCAGGCGGGAGAGATACATGATTATATACACCTGGAAAATCCTAGAGGGACTAGTACCGAACTTGCACACGAAAATCACTCATGTCTAATGAGTCTATGTCCATCACAGGATGGACATAGACTCATTAGAGAACATACAGAGAAGAATGACTAAAATGATTTACTGTGTAAGGAACCTCCCATATGAAGATAGACTTAAAGCCTTAAATCTCCACTCTCTGGAGAGGCGTAGAATGAGGGGGAGATATCATTGAAGTGTATAAGTGGATGACGGGCATAAACAAGGGAGACATTAATAAAGTACTGAGGGTGTCAAACCAGGTAAGAAC